TGGGGAAAGGGAGGTCTGGGCCTCCCTTCTGAAGCTGCTGCCCCCGCGACCCGACCCCGGATAGGCGGAAGAAAATGGATGGATGGATGGATATTATCAGATCTGTGTGGATGGAGAAGGTCCAACATGCTGAACATCCTCTGTGCTCCTCCAGAACCACCTGTCCCTCCTCCAGACCTCCTCCTCAGAGGAGACTCTGGCCGTGGAGGAAGTCCTGGGCAGCTTTGACTTCCTGTCACATGACCTGAACGCCGATGAGGACACTTCCTGTTTGGACAGCGGGTGAGTTGTCAGACAGAGGACACGTGATTCAGCTTCAGCTGCTTCTCAAACGTCTGCTCTGATCTTTCAGCATCAGCTCCTTCCAGCAGAGCACCTTGAAGAGTCTCCGCCTCCTCTCTACTGACAGCCAATCAGAGGAGGAGCTGCTGGTGGCCCCGTTGACTTCTGGGAACTGGAGTCTGGACCAGGCTCTGGAGACGCACCTGGATCTCTGCTGCCTCCTGCTGCAGGTGCAGGATTTACAGGCTGATGTGCTCTGATTGGTCGATTGTTTCCATCACTCAGCTTTCACCCTGTGTCCTCAGATGATGAGGACCACGGAGTTCGGCCCGTCTCAGAGGGAGCTGCTGGAGGAGACGTCCCACCAGGCTGAAGTCCTGGAGCGAGTCGGCCATCTGCTGCTGGAGAAGAAGCCCGACATCTCAGCTGGAGATGGTCCGTGCAGAACCTTCTCACCTGGAACCTGAGAGGAAACATCTGGCTGGACTCTTTAAAGACCAATGCTCCTCTCTCTCCCACCTGCAGTCCTCCCTGAAGCCCAGAGATCCAGGGATGTTCTGCTCTTCTGGGAGGAGTGTGTCAATGACAGCGGCTCTCCGTTCTGCGCTCACGTGGACAGCTTCTCCAGAGCGCTGAGGAAACGTTACTCTCACAAGGTGAAGGCCAAGCAGCCCGGCCAATCAGAGAGAGGTACAGCAGCACCTGAGGAGTCTGAGGAGACGCAGCTCTATGGGATCAACTTTGTGCCAACAGGAAGTGAATCTGAATGTTCATAATTTGAAATTGAATTCATTGGTTTGAAAATAAATTTCACTAAATTGAAGCTGAATTTAAAGTTTTGAATTTGAATTAATTTGCTTTGAAATATTTTGGTTTATTAAAAATTCAGTTTGACTACTTTCACTTTCAGTTCCATAATTCAGATTTTTGTGTCACATCCTGGTCCTTGAGAAAGCCAGGCAGAGTAATCAAACACAGATCCACAGATTTATGTTTCACTTTGTGTTCTCTAGGTTTCAAATTCAAAACATTAAATTCAGTTTCAATTTAGTGAAATTTATTTTCAAACCAATGCATTCAGTTTCAAATGATGCACATTCAGTTCAATCTGAGCAATTCAAGTTCAGTTCTTGCTGACACAAGATTCATCCCATACACCTCCAACGCTCACACATCACTTCCTCCCAGTCAGACACATTAGACTGGAATCTTTCATTTATTTAGTCTTTGAACCTGTTTGTTTGTGTGATGTGAAGCCTTCATCTCTCCTCCTCCTCCTCAGTGTTCTCTCGGCTCCTGCAGCAGCTGCAGGCGGCCTGTCGCTTGGTGCCGGGCTGTCGGCCCGTCTGCAGCCCAGACAGAGTCACCCTCTTCCAGCTCTCAGTGTATCTGAAGCGCTGGAGCTTCCAGGACCTGGGAGAGCACATCTCCCACCTGTCCAGAGAAGGTCAGACTCTTTTATACTCCCCTCTGGTTAGTAGAGATGCTCCATATTGACTTTTTGACGATATTGTTCAAAACTTAATTTCTGATTCCGATATTAACTGATATTAAGGTGACATCACATCCATAATGCCTGCTTTTTGACACCCCACTGGATGCTTTCCATAAGTAAACACTGTACAAAAATAAAAACCATTTAACTGAAGTTAGTGGGGAAAATGCCATATTTAATTTTAACATTTTGTCTCAAACAATAGTTTGGATCATGCTCTCCCTGAGATAATCCAGTTTGATGATGTCATCAGTTGCGCAGCCTGTTACTTTTACACTTTCCAAAATAGTTAACTTTAAAAACAAATTCTTTCCTTATACATTGAGATTTCTTCAGTTCTTTTGAAAACGTTGTTCTCTTTGAAAACAGCTTCATCATTTGTTGTTTTTGTTTATATTTGGTGTTTATCTAACACTTTGATACTTTTGGCTTTTAGATAAGTGTTTTGACACTTTACTCTTCAGGTTAACTTTTTTTTATTTTTAGCCACCCATCTGATACTTTTAGTTAGCCTTTTGTAACTTTGAGATTTTAGCTACTCTTTTGCTGTTTTTGTTAGCCTTTTGATACTTTTAGCTAAATTTAGCCATTTTAAGCTTTTACTTTGCTATTTTTAGATTTGTGCTAGCCTTCTAGTTATGTTTTGATTATCTTTAGCTACTTTAGCTCTTAGCTATTATTTTGCAACTTTTAACTTTTAGTGTTTTTTAGCTAGTCTTTTGCCAAATTTAGCTCCTGTTGCCCGTTTTTGCTTTTAGCTAGAGGTTTGAGAGTTTAGTTTTCCTTTTGTTACTTTTTGCAGGCCTTTTGCGGTGAACGTCTCTACAAACCTTTATTAACACATTTAGGTCAAATCCAGGCGCTAATTCATCAGAACTTTGTTATCAGAAGAAAAACTGATACGAATATGTAGAGATTTTACATTTTTATGCTAATATTGGACCGATTATATCTGTAGGACGATATTATTGGACATCCCTGCTGATTAGTTTGGCTCTGAACAGGTCTGTTTGACCCGATCATCATCATCATCATCACTTTATTTATATAGCACATTTAAAAACAACAGTGTTGACCACACAATACAATATAATAACAAGCTTAAAACAAGTAAAAAGACACAAATTACAAATTCCTGAGGTAGCTCAAACTTAACTTGAATTAAAAGTGTAAAAAAGTGTGTTTTTAAGTCAGATTTAAAAGACAGAACCGACTCTGCAGTACGGATCTCAAGAGGCAAGTTGTTCCAGAGTCTGAGGACCACCCCAGTAAAAGCCTGTTCCCCTCTACGCTTCACTTTTACCTTCAGCTGCACTAAAAGCATCTGATTAGCTCTGTTCTCTGTGTGGGGTATAAAAGTGCAACAGGGCCAATAAATAACTGGGTGCCAGACCATTTCAAACTTTAAACGTAAGAAAAAAAATCTAAAATCAATCAACAAGTCAGATAAAACAGGAGTGATGTGGTCCGGCCTCCTAGAACCCGTTAAAAGCAGCAGCGACTAACTGCAAACCATGGAGACATGATTGTTCCAAAGCAACACATAAAGAGCTGCAACAGTCCAGTCTAGATGTAATAAAAGCATGGAGAAGAGTTTCAAGGTCTTTGTGGGGAATGTAAGGTTTTGCTTTGGCAATTAGATAAAAACTGGTTTTAAAAACTGAAGATATTTGTTTGTCAAAATAAAAAGACACAGAAGTGATTGAAGGTTAATTAGAAGCTGATTTTAGCTGAGAGCTCCACATGAAGCAGGAAACAAAGCCCTGCAGCTGTTTTCATGTGTTGCTTTTGGCTGCTGTGTTTCAGAGTACATCCTGTCCGCACTGACCAGCCCCAAAAGGAGGCGGGCTTTAAACAAACTTAGGGGGCGGGGCATCTCGGAGCTCCTCCCCCTGGGATCCACGCTGCAGACTCTGGCCGCCCTGCTGGTGGACTCCAACCACAAAGTGTGCAAAGCTGCCAGCAGCTGCCTCTGCAGAGCTGCAGGATGCAGGGCCTTCAGGAACAAGGTCACCAAAATAAAAGCCTCTGAAACACCACAAAATAAGAGTCCATCCTTCAGCCTCAGCTGAAGCTCGTTGAAGCTTGTTCCTCCGGTCTGAAGCAGAACTGATCCTGGTCTTTGTTCCTCCTGCAGGCTGTGGTGTTCTACACAGAGAGTCTGAAGAGCTCCAAGGTCCAGGTCCAGCAGGGTTCCTGTCTAGCTCTGAAGAGTCTCAGGGTGAGGACTCACACAGACCCACTCAGACCCAACTGTTTTATTCAGTGTTTTCATGTTTTATTTACTATTTTTATGTTTTGTTCAGGGTTTTTTTTCAGTATTTTTATTCAATATTTTGTGTTTTATTCAGTATTTTGTGTTTTATTCAGTGTTTTTGTGTTTTATTCAATGATTTATTCTGTGTTTTTGTATTTTATTCAGTGTTTTTTATTCAGTATTTTGTGTTTTATTCAGTTTTTTATTTGGTATTTTGTGTTTTTATTCAGTGTTGTGTTTTTATTTAGTGTTTTTGTGTTTTATTCAGTGTTTTTGTGTTTTATTCAGTGTTGTGTTTTTATTCAGTGTTTTTGTGTTTTTAATTCAGTGTTGTGTTTTTATTCAGTGTTTTTGTGTTTTATTCAGTGTTGTTTTTATTCAGTGTTGTTTTTATTCAGTATTTTTGTGTTTTTACTCAGTGTATTCAGTGTTGTGTTTTTATTCAGTGTTTTTGTGTTTTTAATTCAGTGTTGTGTTTTTATTCAGTGTTTTTGTGTTTTATTCTCTGTGTTTGTGTTTCTGTCAGGCCACAGAGAGCGTGGACCAAATCTCAGATCTGTGGAGGTCAGAGGATGAAGATCTGCGACGGTCAGCCAGAGAAACTGTCCTCTCCTTTGGTAAAAACATGAAGCTGGTTTTATGTTGATGCTCAGTCAGAATTCACTATGTTGTTTACCTGATTTTATTTTTCCTTGTTTTTTACAATCCAGCTGTTTCTGCTGACTGTGTTCTATTTTAGCTGCTCGTAATTCAAAATGTTCGGCTCATTCTGATGTGACTTTTACTTTTTATAACTTTCATACTTTTTTTAAATTATTTAATGTTGTTTACAACAACATTATTTAATCAACTACTTCAGCATCTAGAAGCTAATAATATGCTAAGCAATAGCCAACATGGTTTCCACACATC